AACCCTTTGGGGGTCATGGGCAGGGCCTGGGCTAAAAGTGGAAGGTGAAGGACTATAAATTTGATCTGACTTGATAACCTCACCCCTTACTAAGGGTACCTAAAATCCACACTAATTAGCTGCTAGTAAGCAATGACTCCTAGGCTGTTAGTCATGGACTGTAAGTCTCATGTTACACACAAAAGTATGCAGGAAACAACCACTGGCATGTTACCTTGCTGCAAAGAAGCAATGGAAGGATATACTTTGGAGTGTGAAAATGGTGCGGTTCTTCAGCCCTTCCACAACCCATGATACAGCATTTTTATTTTGCATTTTGGGTGTTTGTACACTATCTTACAAATATCCTGAAAATATTATAACTACTGTAATGTTGGTGCGGGGGCTGAAGCTTGCATAAGCCACCTTGTGAGTTCCTGACAAAGGTGATATTTGAATGTATCAACACTTCACTCAGAGTAATTCTCATGGAAACAAATGAAACATCAGACAGAATAAACACCATGGTGAATCTGCAGAAGGACAACTTCATCTGCCTCAGCTGCAACAAAACATATACAGAATCTCCCATATCAGTCTCTACAGCCACAGCAGATGCTGTATTCTTCCAATAGATTTACTTCACCTCCAAAGACGAAGTAAACTCCACTACTGTCTCCCAAAACAGATGGATGCCAACCACCAGCTACCAGGTAACTATGTGCAGGACAGCAAACTAAAATTTATTTTAGCTGCCTATAATGAAATTTCTATTTTTTCTAGCTAAATGTAATCTCTATATGCTAAGTGCTACATTTCCTCCTTAAACATATACTGGATTCAAGACTTGGTAGAAAAAACAATAAAAACCAAGTTCAAAAAAAAACACCTTGGAACTACTGGCTGCATATTAATCGACCAGATGTGGAGCAACAAAACCAGCTACATTAGGACACAGCAGTTTGCTAATGTCTCCATGGCAACCTTTCCTGTTATCTTAGAAGAAAGCATCATAAGTTATCCTGCCATGAGCAAATGGTAAGCTGAAAAGATGCTCCTGTTGATCCTTTCCCAACTTTTTGAGGTAGCATCTAGGATATAATTCAACAATTAATGTACTAGATGTGCATAGCTAAGAAACAATTTGCATTACAGGTTGCAGGGAGTAAATGTTATTTATATGCACCAGTCTACACACATAGAATATGTGTAAATAACCCCACAAAAATTACTATCCTGCAAGATTATTTATTAGCCTGCTTAGATCCTACCAGAGCTTGCATTTCCTTACATAGTGAGTTTAATCCATTTCTTCTTAGCCACAAAGGATATACACATGACTAGTCTCTTAGTAGTGTAATAATAAAATTTGCCTTCTATAAAGTGAATGGGGAAAGAAATGACTGGTCCCTCCACAAGGTTGTCCACATGGAAGTCCTGGTTGTCTACGAGTTCCAGGCAAATGGTTAAATACAGAGTGGGGAAAGAATGCTTGCAACCCAGTACAGTGGTGCCTCTGGTTAGGAACTTAATTCATTCCGGAGGTCCGTTCATAACCTGAAACCGTTCTTAACCTGAGGTACCACTTTAGCTAATGGGGCCTCCCACTGCCACTGTGCGATTTCTGTTCTTGTAAAGTTCTTAACCCGAGGTACTACTTCCAGGTTAGCGGAGTTTGTAGCCCGAAGTGTTTGTAACCCGATGTGTTTGTAACCCAAGGTACCACTGTACTATCTCCCCAAAGGTGTACGAAACATTGACATACAAATATTCTGCATGTATAGACCAACACATGCAGCTGGAAAATGTGCAGATTTATTCTGTGCCTACAAAAGAGAGGTTTTTTTTGGTAACAGCCACAAACAATGAATATCAGCTGTTTTCCTTCATGAAAAATGGTGCACTTACATAATGAGCATAACTATGGAATCAAATGTCACGGATTTCAGCTTTGCCAACTTGCACAGCCTTTAAAGAATATTTTGAATCTCCAAAGATCGCAGTAATACATTGAAATTGATGTGCTTATATACAATATACAGCTCACATTTTCAGAAAACTAGGCAGAAAGTAAAAGAAAGGAATATGTGAACCATATATGTTAGATTGAATTCACCAGTTTGTTATGTCCTGAAGAACTGGCTCAAAATATTTTGCTACACGAGACAAGGAACAAGGTGACACCCCTTTCCATTCTACAACTGGGTTGGAAAGCTGATTCTTACTTCAATACAGTGGTACCTTGGTTTAAGAACAGTCCGATTTAAGAACTATTCGGTTTACAAACTCCGCAAAACAGGAAGTAGTGTCCCAATTTGTGAACTTTACCTCAGTCTAAGAACGGAATCCAAACGGTAGAAGGGCACCAGCGGCAGGAGGCCTCATTAGGGAAAGCACGCCTCAGTTTAAGAACGGTTTCCGTTTAAGAATGGACTTCTGGAACGGATTAAGTTCATAAACCGAGGTACCACTGTACTGGCAATGGAAGAATGACCATCACCACACTGAGTGCATCAGCCCAGCTTAAAGGGTGCAAAGCTATTCTCTTCTGTTATTGAACAGGAAGGAATGACAGGGAGAGGCTACCATTGCTGCTCACCCACATACACACACTCCAGCTGCCTCAATTTGGCTAATGGTTGTGGCTGCCCTGATGACCTGCCTTTTGAATGAAGCAGTTTATTTTACTAGAAATATACAAGAGAAAACATAGTCTTAATATAGCATATCAAAAATAACAGCAGTAAGTACTAATAGCCAAACTCAAGTTAGGTTCAGTACATAGCACTTAGGCCAAGGGAAGTTAAATGAAATATCTTGTGCTATTATCCTAAAGCTCCACATAATCCACTTATTAATTCACACACACTTTCACATAAATAGACGTAGGATACAATCACCTTCTAAGCTTCTCTGTTTATTGGCTCTGATTTAATAAAGTTAAACTGTGTACAACCTGAGCCAATTTTGAAATTCACAAAGTTCAGTCTTCAAAGCACAGCTAGAAAGCAACCCTCACCTACTTTGTTACAGCACACACCAGACAAGTCCTCTGAGGACAATATAAGGTTATAAAAATTAAAATGCATATGCAAAATTAGTTAGATATATCTCTGCAAACTAAAACAAGCAATTTGAAAACTATTTTCTTTAATTCTCAAACTGTCAGTAGTACCTACTTCTGCTTAAAACAAAAAGAACCAACACAGTGCCTTTTAGAATCTTGATTTTTATATTTTGCCTACAAGGAGTTTACCTGTGGTGAATTTTTGTACCTACACCTCCCAGAGAAAAAGATAAGATTGTCTGCACAATGACTGCCATTCCTTTCCACAATAGATAATTTTTTCATTTCACACATCAGTTACAATTTATGGTAGCAATTCCAAAATGTCATCTCATTTCATTTACCATCAGATTAGCCACCTTAAAGACAGAGGTTGGATGCTTTGGAATAAAGTCTTATGACTAATATTTTTTATACATTAATGTCGAGGAGTGAGCAACAAGGGGATGGGTAGATTTAGGGTAAGAGTGAATTTGTTTTATCTTGAAATCCAGGGGCAGGGGGGAAAACATTAATGCTGGTTTCTAGGTTTTGATGCTGCATGCCTTGCATCAATTACAAATACTTCCTTTTTGTTGTTTAAAAAATCACTTTTGAAAAGTCAGTAGCTTTAATGCTGATTCCATCTAATTTCCCGTTTTTATTTCTCCTCCACCTCAGTGTTTTACTTTTTATTTTATACAAATCAACACACTTTCTTGATAGAATAGCTTCCAGATCATCATATCAATTCCTTTCTACCCACATATTTCAAGTTACATTTAACAGCTAGGAAACTCCTTCAGGCCAACAGCAGCTTGCCTGGTGGATGAACAGACAGAGCTTTAGACAAAAGTGCTACAATTGATTATTTTTCATTTAAATATATTTTGTACTTCATCAAACATCTTCGCTTAGACAAATAACCTGTCTATTCAAGAAACTACATGAACAGATTATTTTAATGCATTCCAATGTATTGATTAAATTGAATAAGCAAATGATTTTGCCATTAGGCTTCTGCATATTTTAAAAGTAAAAAGGTTTATAGTGACTCACAGTTACAATACAAATTCATTAAAAAAATATATATAAACTGTGTATATACAATTAGTTAAAAACTCTAAACCAGGAGTAGGTAACTGTTTTGGCCCAGCAAGCTACATCTGTATCTGGCTGGCTGGGGCAAAACTTTGACAGGTGAGAGGGACCAACCACTGATCCATCATCTGACATCATAATTTTGTCAGGTGTTTGGGAAGCACCGTGCAAATTGCTGCACTTTGACGAGTGTCAACCAGCTGATCAAAAGGCATTAGTGCTTTGAGTAGTGCTTCCCAAACAGCAACATGCTGATGGTTTGGCATCTGGGAAGCAGAGGGGGAATGAAGGAGCTCACTGAGTTTAATACTAAAGGGAGAAGAGCTGGTGTCCTGTCTGTCCCATGAAGATACACACTGGGAAGGATTAGCAAGTACTTCAGAGTAAGTGCCTTTACATTAGATCCAGGTGTTGCAGTGGATTATCTGAACCTGTGCCTGAGATTTTTTTTCCCTTTTTTTAATGAGATGCCTAGAGATGACGTGCTGAAACTTAATTAGGATAATATGGAAATGTTGTGGTGTATGATACAGTCCACCGTGAAAGAGGTAAAGCTCCTGATCTGATGGGACCACACTCACTTCAGGATCACAGCTTGGAATGGTGCTAGCCATGGTTCTGGATGCCCAGAAAAAGCATATTTTTCCAGCTTTGACTGTTAACTGCAGCAGTAGCAGCACCCTCTTTGGGGGAAGGTATTTTGATGTGATGAAAAAGCTCTTTTTCATCCATTTTTTGAGATCCTAAGTCCAACTTGATCTCCGGTTGCCTCTTCCTAGGAATGCTGCCTTGACAGCATTAAGAACCATGAAACATGAGCAGTCCTTTAAAGACTAGTCTTTCATGATATATCAAATCAGTTAAAATTAATTTTGATGTAAGATTTTTGTATAAATCATTTCTCATCTCTTTATATCCAAAAATAAAACATTTGCAGAAGCTGAAACATCTCTCTTATAGACAACATAATCATGTTAACCTTTCTCTGTTCCAAAGAGAAATGTCTAAAAGATATTTCATCACAGCATGGAAGCTATGGGAATACAGCATTAAATGAGGTCAGTGAAGACTAAGTTTGAGCTGTTATTTTTCATGAACTAGATAATTTAAGCCTTTCGATGTCATTGCAGTGTGAGTAAGATGTAGAGCTTGACAAATTTCCTATGGATAATGTTTAGAACTACATGTGTGGAATTGTTTCATTTTTTTAATATGTTACATTAAAATGCCTGCTCATATACCAAGTAAGACCTTCTCCCACTGCAACCTGAAACTGTTAGGTTGAAGCAAAACATGAGCATGCCAAATTTACCCAATGTGTTCTGCTAGTAAGCAGAGGATTTAGTTTGAACTTGCCTTTCTGGGTCAATGAACGCTGGCTGAGATGCAGTCATGACATATCCAACTGCAGAGATGAAGGTGGAAGATGAATAGGGGTAGCTTCTGACAGCTGTTTCCCAGCACAACACAACTGTTAGCTCCACAGGGATCATTCCTTGTTACAGTAAAGGTGGAAAACTCTAGCCAATTGCAGGTAAGAGCAGAGTTAATGTGGAGGGGTTAGGAGCAGTAAATAACTAAGCCAAAATGGGTTCTCTTAAAAAATAAAATATGTTTAAATAGATGCTTTGATTTATGTCAACAGCTGAATTAATTCCTTTTTATGAAAACTGATCACAGTTTTTTCCCTATCTATGCTGCCTTCTCAGAATCATAGAACTCTAGCGTTGGAAGGGATCCACCAGAGTCATTTAGTCCAACCCCCTGCAATGCAGGAATCTCAAATAAAGCAGACATGACAGGTGACCATCCAAGTTCTGCTTAAAACCTCAATGAAGGAGAGTCCACCACCTCCTTAAGGAGTCTATTCCACTGTTGATCAGCTATTATTATTGAAAGTTCTTCCTGATGTTTAGTCAGAATCTCCTTTTTTGTAACTTAAAGCCATTGGTTCAGGTTCTAGTTGCTAGAGCAGGAGAAAACAATTTTGCTCCATCTTCCTTGTGACAGCCCTTTGGATATTTGAAGGAGGATATCATATCTCCTCTAAGACTCTTCTTTACCAGTCTGAACATACCCAGTACTCTCAACAATTCCTCATAAGGCTTGGTTTCCAGACTCTTGATCATCCTGGTCACCATCCTCTGCATATACTCCAGCTTGTCAATATCCTTCTTAAATTGCAGCACCCAGAACTGGACACAGTACTACAGGTGTGGTCTGACCAAGACAGAATAGAGTGGTACTACGACTTTCCTTAATCCAGACACTATACTTCTGTTGATGCAGCCTAGAATAGCACTAGGTTTTTTGCTGCTGCATCACAGTAAAGGTAAAGGTAAAGGTAAAGGTAAAGGTACCCCCGCCCGTACGGGCCAGTCTTGACAGACTCTAGGGTTGTGCGCTCATCTCACTCTAGCGGCCGGGAGCCAGCGCTGTCCACAGACACTTCCGGGTCACGTGGCCAGCGTGACAAGCTGCATCTAGCGAGCCAGCGCAGCACACACAACGCCGTTTACCTTCCCGCTAGTAAGCGGTCCCTATTTATCTACTTGCACCCGGGGATGCTTTCGAACTGCTAGGTTGGCATCACAGTACTGACTCACAATACTGCATCACAGTATTGACTCACATTAATCTTGTGATCTTCTAAGACCCCCTAGAGCTTTTTTGCATGTACTGCTGGCAAACAAGGTGTCCCCCATCTTATATTTTTGCAGCTGGTTAGCTCTGCCGAAGTGAGAACCTTACATTTGTAAGGTAACAAGCTACAGTTCTCAGGATTCTCTATTACCCTTGAAGTGGCATAAAAGTGCTTTCAATGTATGGCATGGATGTGCCTCTTGTCTCTTGAGCAAGGCTTAGATGAACAGAAGGCTCTCTTGTAGTCTTTTCTGTCCAGGAGGTTAGGTAAGGTTAGTCCAGGACCTGAGGATACAATGCTGTCTTGCAGTTTAATGGCCTATGATATGGGGCAACTGTTCTCAGATCTAAAGGTTCCCAGTTTGACTCCTCAACATCACCTAACAGATTGCAGTCATCTCTCCTCCTCCCTCAGTTCTTGCTCAGTTAAGGGTGGTGTGAGCCCAGGGACTTCCCTGCTACTAGGATTTATGTGTGCATCACCACCCTCTGGCCACAAAGCTCTAGCAAGTGTAAGGAGGATGTCACGTGAATTGCTCACAAGCCAGAGAAAGAGATATGATTGCTGAAAATCATTATGGGAAGTTCAAACAGCGCCAACTTCTGCTCTGTATTTTTTTAACCCCCCCCCCTCCCAATTGCAGATCCAGCAGTCAAATTATTAGGGGAATTGGAGGATCAGCAAAAACTCCTTAGGGAACATATATGGCCCCTCAGGCCATGAGTTAGGCACCCCTGCTATGAAGGTACTGTAAACTTGAATCCCAAGAATCAAATTATGGCGGGTGCGCCGCAAATCAGAAAACCAAGGGCAAGTTCTGCATGTATATTAAGTGATTTGAACAGAACTAGTGAAAGAAGTATGAAGGTGGGTTTTAAAAAGCTAAGCACATTTTTTCTCTTCATTGTTCTCGTACCTATTTCAGTTTAGCTGTTATGAGAACAGATAAACTGGCTTAAACACTCTCGTATGCAAACCATCCTTGCATAAAACCATTGTCCACAAACAAGTCGCTGCTGGTTGTGGTCCCGCGTGCATCAAGGGTGCTGGGAAGGAAAGAATACCTACATCCAAAACTCTGGGTCTGCTTTTCACAGAGAAGAATAAAGTAATTTTCCACACTGGAACCATTCTTGTTTCCAGTCTTTTGAACTGCATCTTAAAAGTATGTTTCTGAATACATAAAATGGGCGTGAACTTTAAAAGCCATAATCTCAATTTCAACAGCTGAAAGCTCTGCAAAAGCAATAATAGCTGAATTATCTTGAAAATGCAATACATATTCATGATTAAAATGCTGATGAGAGAAGTTTTAGAGATAAAGGCATTTAGAGATAAATGTTTGGAGATAAAACATTGCAGAAGAACTGGCTTTAAAAACAGTCAGTTGGCTGCTTCATCTCTGATGTCCAAAAATTTTGTATCTGTACCCATTTACAGCTGTGGCTTTAGCAGGCACTGACACTGATTAAGTAGTAGCCTTGGCACTGATTAAAGATTACACTTTATCTTTCTAATCTGGAGTCCCATTAATAAAGTTCACACAGCCAGGACGTATTACTCCATTCAAAATCTTCCTGAAAGATAAACTGTCTCAAATTCCAGTCTCCTGTAAGTTACTGTTATTGTGGCAGCCCCTGTGAAACTTTCCTGAGGCCATGCTAAAGATGATTGATCAGCTCACCCTGATCTCTCCTCCAAAAGTGACTGCTGCTTGAGAACCTTGTGTCATAGCTCACTGCAAAAATTCATTTTGATATCATTACAAAATAGTCTCTAAAACAATGTCGTGTCTTTCCGATTTTCTAGCTTTATCAGATCTGGACCACTGATTTTGCTTGCACAAGTTACTTGTTAGCATCTAAATAAAGACTGGGTTGTTGTTTTTATTTTGATTATGTATTTTGTGGTTTTATATTTTTATTTTGTTCTGTGAACCGCCCTGAGACCTCTGGGTATAGAATAGGGCGGTATATGAATTCTATAAATATAACAACAACAACAACAATAATAATGGTAGAAAATATTCAATACAAGCAAACCTCCTAAGTATAAAATAAAATGTTGGGGAACTATATTTTTAAATTATAGACTTTTTTTTTAGTCTATTATTGTTAAGACTATTATTTTGCATATGCTATGATAGAGAAATTAGAGTCATCCAGAGAACCACACAATTCCTTGCAGCTAAACATCTGGGGGCTGCGTGCCGGTGGTAGGCAGAGTCAGGGCAAAAGTGGGTAGTGATACCCCACAGTCCTTCTCTTTCATACACACGTTCATGTGGCCGTCTGTCACTAGGCGTGAACCTTCCTGCCGGTCTTACAACGTCATACAGGCGTTCATCTGCTTTCCAAGGTGGCTAACTAGATCTCATTGTGTGAGGTTATTTCGAGATTGGGGCAAAATATGTTCAGATCTGCACACTGAAAAATACTCTTAATACTAGCGAAAGGTCACAAATATTCCTCATATAAAGCATAATTGTGTATCTGTATTGCAGGAATTAATCCCAAGTGTTTGGAGTGCAACAGGATAAGTTAAATACTAAGTGCCAACATACTTTCTATTGGTTTAAATCAGACTTCCGGCTTACATGTTTTATTTTCGTGTTTATTCACTAAGCTAGTACTGTAACAAATCCATGCATTAAGACAGAGACTGAGAGAGAAAATCTTATAAAACACAGAGAATTTCAACCATTAACTAGCGTATTATGCTTTTATTCATGCAATTTTGAAGGCATAGTGTCAGCTTTTTATCCAAGTCCTTTTCATTATTTCTCCCTGTTGGTGTTGAAGCACATGCTGTGAATGACCTCCAGAGATTCCTCAAGCTATATGCAGAGAGTAAATTGAATCTGAAAGCTTTATTAGATGGATTCCAAAAGAGTAGCTGTGTTAGTCTGAACTCTTTGTCTTTTTATTAGGTGAGTTTGTCTTTCATTTTGTGTCCGATGTCAACTGTCTTGAAAATAAAACTTCTCTTGAAACAGGGTCTTGACCTTGAAAATTCTTCAAATCAAACCACTAAATTCAGTTTTGTACTATAATGTATTTGTTAAGCATGTGTGTCATGAAACTTGCCTCCCCAATGAATTATCTGAAAATCTCTCCCCTGGGATCTTAATTTCCTTAGACGATCTAAAACATTGTCAGGACTGCTACACATAGCACGAATTTCCTACACAAATATTACTAAGGATGACTTCCCAGAACCATTTGATTTGAGCTGGACAGTCATAGGCTATATACCGTATTTTTCGCACCATAGGACGCACCGGACAACAGGACGCACCTTGTTTTAGAGGGGGGAGAACAAGAAAAAAAAATTCTCCCCCTCTCTGCCCAGCGCCCCTTCAGCGAAGCAGCAGGAGGCGCTGCGCAGAGAGAGAGAGAATCTCCCCCCTCTTGTTTTCCCGCTCTAAAACAAGGTGCCATTTAAGGTGCGTTCAGGCGGCTACCTTGGAAGCCTGGAGAGCGAGAGGGGTCGGTGCACACCGACCCTCTTGCTCTCCAGGCTTCAGGTTCCTTCGACCTGCTCTTTGGGGCTGGCGGGGGGGAAGCCCACCACCAGCCCCAAAGAGCAGGTCAGGGAACAGCGGAAAGGCGCAGCGGAGAGGCTGCTGCCATAGTCGCACGTCACTTCTCCAGCTGGGAGAGGGTCGCGGGGCTATGGCTTCTTTAGCCCCGCACACGCTCTCCCAGCTGAGGAGGTGGCGCGCAGCTAAAGAGGCTCCTGCCATAGCCGCGCATCACATCTCCAGCCGGGAGAGGGTCGCAGGGCTATGGCTTCTTTAGCCCCGCGCGCTCTCTCCTGGCTGGAGAGGTGACGCGCGGCTAAAGAGGCTCCTGCCATAGCCATGCGTCACCTCTCCAGCCGGGAGAGTGTCGCGGGGGGCTGCTTTAGCCCCGCGCGCGCTCTCCCGGCTGGAGAGGTGACGCGCGGCTATAGAGGCTCCTGCCATAGCCGCGCGTCACCTCTCCAGCCGGGAGAGGGTCGCGGGGCTATGGCGTCTTCGCTCCATAGGACGCACACACATTTCCCCTTCATTTTTGAATGGGTCCTATAGAGCAAAAAATACGGTAGTTTGAAATTCCAGAAAGCAATAAATTCCAATAGTACTGCTGTGCAATGCTCAGCAATTATTTTCCTTTTTGCCATATATATGATACTCCGTAGTTATGGTACTTTATGAGTGCCTAATGGCCAGTGTTTCACTGAATGGCTAATGTAAACATGAGGTCATTCATTCAGTTTTGTAAGATTTGAAGACATCTGAAAAGAGGAGGTTGTTATGAAGTCTTACTGCAAGACTCTGACTTAAGTATGTCCTTGGATGTTAACACATGGGCATGTGGAGCATGATACAAAATCAGTTAACAGACCAAACCTAAATAGGCCTCTGGCAGTAAGGCAGAAAAGAAGGTTCTTGATTCTTTTTCAATTGAAAATACTATCCAACTGCATCTGTTTCCTGAGAACTAGAAAGGACAACGATTCTTGCCAGACGACTGTAGACCCCTTCTTCAGTTGTAGACTCCCTCTTTTAGGCCAGGTCCTTAGGTTTTCTGTCCAAATTGTTAAAACTTCAATGCTTCCAGCAGGTGAACATAAACTTCCAAGTATTCCTTGACAAAACCGGCTCCTTATGTCCTAATCTACTTCTTGAATGCATCAAGAGGAACATCTGCCATAAATATTGTTAATTACCGAAAACACTTCCAGAAATGTAATTGGAAAGTTCCTCAGAATGCAGTCCTATATACGTACTCAGAAGTACGTTCTACTATTTAATGAAGATTAATCCCAGATATATGTTTACAGACTACATATATAGACTAGGTAGAAAGTTACTCAAATAAAGCACTGGTGGAATGAAGTTCCACCGATATGATTCTGTTACATATGGGTGCTCACCTGAGTGATTGCATGTATGAAGAAGAGGGACTGTTCATGGTTGCCATCAAAAATATAGCCAGCTTGGACTTGTAACCACCTGGAAAATTGTTTTCTGTGATACAGTTTCCTATGTGGTTCAGTAACTTTTAAACATAGCAGGAAAAATATTTTACTGGAGTTCTGCTTGCACAGTTAAAATTACATGAACCACATAGGGAGCCACTTCTCATAATCAGTTTTCCAAGCAGTTTGTATTCTCAGTGTCAAGAAGATCATCAGTGTAATGTAAAATCTATTCTTAAGTTGACACATTAGTTTTCCCAAAAATAAAATGAAAGCCTGCCCTGCCTTCATAATTACAGTGTGATTTCTATTACTGATATTCAAGTGGAATCTTTGGTTAGTGAAGTTTACAGAAATTCATATTTTAAATGTCAAACTGCTAGCTGGTACAATTTCCATTGGACAATGATTCTCCAAAATCTCAGACGGAGGTCTTCCTAAAATCCTTTAATTCAAAGTACTGGTGACTGAAATAGGAACCTTGTGCATGTGCTGAGACTTTTGAAATAGCATTCAGCCAGATAAGATTCTCCTAGTGAGAAAAATTGTTTCTGTTTATTATGCTGGAGGGCATGCTACTGCTATGGGACATTAGGAATGGTTGTACTCTCTTTCCATGTACAATAAATCCTTAAACAAATGTGTGAGCAAGGACAATATTAAGCTCAATACCATCAAATTGCCTTTCAATTATAAGCCTCAGACCTAGGAACAGTTATCAAATCTCACTAAAATAAAAGATGCATACTAAGAAATAAACATGGTTTAGGTTACAAAAGTAGTATCTTAAGGAATATATTAACCCATTATTATTCCAAGAGACACAATGCCTGAATCAGAACATCAATCCACAGAAAACCCTATTGAAATTTGTTATGATTCAGAAGTAAACAGCAGGGTTTTCCTGGGAATGCAGCAGGGCAAGTGAAAAACCTCTCAGGCCTGTGGTTAGAAAGCATGGGACAAGCAGACGTGTGGATGAGCCCATATGCAAAAAAACAGAATGGAGGTAAAAGCAATCAAGCCATTACTGAACTGCAACATCAAATTGAATGAAAATTTAATTCCCAACTTATCTTTCAACTTTCATCTAGCACATATAACAGGAAGTAGCCTTCTTTTAAAAAAGCTCTTATCCACCACAACCTATAAATCAATTTATGAACTAAATTTAATAATTCCATTACAGTGGTACCTCGGGTTACAAACACTTGGGTTACAGACTCCGCTAATCCGGAAGTAGTACCTCGGGTTAAGAACTTTGCCCCAGGATGAGAACAGAAATTGCGTGTTGGCGGTGCAGCGGCAGTGGGAGGCCCCATTAGGTAAAGTGGTACCTCAGGTTAAGAACGGACCTCTGGAACGAATTAAGTTCATAACCAGAGGTACCACTGTACTTTGTCTTAGGGTATATCTGCACCACAGATGAAGTAATACTAATTC